CTAATTTTTGCCATGTTAATTTTTAATTTGCATCTCACAACTTTAATGGTCTTCCCTTCCACCTAATCTACAAGAAACGTAATGTTTTGGAAAGCAACTTTTAGCGAAAACCGAAAAACGTTTCATGTGAAAACAGAAACCTCAATAAAAAGTCATCCAATACCAAACTCTCGAGTACACCCACAACTAATTCCATATTGCATGCTATATTGATTCTATAACTTACTGTCAAAGCACTGATTACATTCTGTCTTCTTCCTGTCTCATATAAAGATGTATACAAATATGAAAAAATTGTTTCTTCTTTACAAATTTTTTAGCAGAATATGGCTTTACCATATTGCCACATACAAATTCGACACCACATAGAAAAAGAAAACTCCATGATTACTTTAAGTCCGGTGGCTCTTTGTAATTCTGGTAACAGGTAAATGACTTTGTGCAAGCAGTGCATTTAGTGCACGTTAAATATTATTAATATAAATAATAATTTATATTATATATATATATATATATATATATTGCAGATGGTGTGATTGGTGGTGCTTTTGGTACTGTAGTTTCTGCTAGTGAATCGACTCTTTTCTGGTTGTAACTCAAGGTTTTCTTTTTATTCTTCATTTTCGTTTCATGAGATCCAGTTCCGAATAACTTTTCCGACTGCTTCAAATTACTAAAATATAAGCACAAGTTATTGCAAAGAGAAGGACCTCTAATTATCCTGACTAACTAAAGATACTATATAGCTGCAATTACTTTGGCAGGTCGCAAATCTTTCTTCTTGTATTCTAATTCATGTTAAGCATTGCGCGCTAATTGTTTTAATATATTTTTTCAAACTTTTAAAATTGACATTTAGTTGTAAAAATAATTTTTTTACGTATTATTGATGTTTGCGAACTAGATGATTGCACTTGAAATCAAATTACAAGAAACCGTGATTAAATTAAATTAAAGAAATTTTCTATTGATATTCTCTGAAGTTATTGTATCCTTATCATTAGTGTTATCAATTTGCTTGTTCACTTCGTTAATGCTATAGATTTATCAAATTCTTTAAATTATGTTCCTGATCAATTTAAATTTCAAAGAGATATCGAATTGATAAAAAAAATTTTATCAATACTACGTACATAGTATTATCAAAATAATCGATTATCAAAAGTGATCGGCAAAACATAATAACAATAAAAAATCAATTGTGATTGGCTAATTTTATCTCTAATTACATGTTAATATTATTGTTGGGAATAATTAATGATCTTTCTACTTAATAATCTATTTTTTGTGAGGACAAATAATCAACAAATTGATATAATTACAAAATAGCAACTCATGCATTAAATAGATATCTTGGATTTCATATCAAGACCTTTGATAAATTCGCGTGCACGACAAAAAATTCAGCGTCAGCAAAATCTTATTCAATCGATATCATTATCTGGTAACAGTAGTAACCACATTATAATGAAGGTTGTCATAAAAGCGGGAGACTTTTTCTCTGTAAAACATTAAAAAGCCTAGAAGATGGAAAGGAAGATACAACCATGAAATGGCCAAGATTTGCATTAGGAATCTCATGATATATAAATTATTGTTTTTGTTGAAGTTTTACTCAAATTTAATATTATTAAAAAAAAATTTTTTAATCCAATTCAAGTTGAAGATTAATGAAATTTATTGGAGAGAGACAAAGACTTTTTTGTATGGCAATTTCCTACTCTATTGACATCTTATTTATTTTAATGTTTAAATAACAATAATATAATATAATTAATTATTACTATTACAACTTAGATTATATATAATATCATTTCCTATAATTCATTGAATGAACATTTATGAAATGTTTTTTTCGAATTTTTAAATATAATTGACCTCAAATAGAAGCGGGATTTAAAAGCAGCATAATATAATAAATATCATTCTCTCATTTGTAATTTCGATTTTCCTAACCCCATGTCGCTAGAATTTTTATTGAGCTCGTTCCCATAAGTTTAAGAGTAAACTTTTCTAGCTTTAATAGTTATATCACTTTTTAATCTTCCTCAATGGAATATAAATACGAGAGAATTTATACACACTGAGAGTCAAAGTTATAATTATAATATGAATTTAACAAAAAACGCAATTCCAACATCATGAAAAATAGCAATGTGGAATTATAATATTGATTAAGACGAATGATGATGTGAAGTAGATTAGATTATTGATAAATATAAAGAAACTCTTTGTTTTGATATTGGATGTGGTAAATATTTCAACTAGTCCATTAGATGTAAATGTTTATTTACTTGTTTCCAACTCTTCATTGCCAAAATTATTGTAAAGTATGAATTGAGAGGAGGAAGTTAATAGATTAATAAATGCTATTGATAGATTATCATGCATTTATGTTTGTTGATTTTTATTATTATGGAAATGAATAACTCAATAATTACACAATGTAATAGAATAATCCATCGGAAAGCTTATTTATTAAATTAATAATAATAATACTAATAAGACACAAATCAACAGCATTCTAGGCTCTTGTTCATAATCACACGATCCATATCAGGCCGTTGATCATCCATTTCTAAAAGAAAAGACAATGTAATAAATATTGATTATCATGTAAACAATCATAATCACTAATATGTAAACGGAATTTTTAATAACTTTGCTTAAAATGGGTAAATTTAATAAATAGTGTTAAAAAAATATTAACAGGGTAAATTTAAAACCACGAAATTGTCTGGAACCTCAATTAAAAAATTCCGAGTCCTCGCTTAAGCAGCAGCTAGACCAATTCTTCATCTTTCACCTTTCTTAATAATAGATGTTCCTACTAATGTTAACCTTGTTCTCTTCTTTGACAGAAACGTTAGTATATCGTCAATGGTTTGTATAGTAAAGTAATCTTTCGACAAAAAATCCACTCTTCCTTTCACAAACTTTGTTGTCACCATCTATCTTTATATGATCGCCATTAATGTTATCATTTTATCATCTTCCTTCGATTTAGCTTCGTAAAGGGCTTGTACCTGACAAACTTTTCAAGTAGTAGTGGCGAATTCATGAAATAGAAAAAATGAATCTTAACAATTTTTATAATTTGTGATTATCGTCAAGTGACACCAGTGTGCGAAATCCTATAAAATTACAGTATAAATTTTTAGATTAAAATTTTACTTGTTGTTTCTAATACAATTTCTTATTCGAATCATTATGCCATTGTTATTATTATTATTATTCGTTTTATTCTTTTTATTCGTTTTAGAAAATAGAAAATATTAATTCACAACTTGATGCAAACAAATTCTATATTGTTATTGTTGTTATTGTTAAGGGATTGTAAACTTACAATAGTTATATTTATAATCTATATTACTACTGCTATGGTTACCACTACTATGACTTAAAAAAATAAAATAAAATGGCCAATTTACTTCTGCTAGCATTATTTATTATTATTATCACTATATACAAGGACTATGAAGGAAAATAGATTGATAAAGAAAAAATATTTCAATTGGATTGGATTAGCAATATGAATATATTATTTTATTCAAATCGTTTTATTCAAATAGAGATTGGTATCCAATGAATAATATTGATATATATAATAATTGAATCAATATCTTGTGTAATAAAATTTTCTCATAAAAGTAGATTTCCTATTTTGTCAAAGTTAGCTACTAATACTCAAGTGAAAGATTATTTAGTCAAGCTGGAAATACAATGACCTCAAAAAGAACAAAACTTAATCCACATTTATTACTTTATTTGAAAAGATTGTTTTTTTGAAAAAAAAATTTTGATAATTTTGATGGAATGTAAAATGATTGGATAATTTTAAAATTTTTTGTTTTTAGTCAACAATGAATATTCCCTGAATAATTAATTTAATGATTGATATCCAAATATTTAATGATTCACCAAATGATTGATCCGAATATTAAATTTAATTAATAAAACGAATGAATATTAAGTGGGTACAACCTCTCTATATTCAAATAAATTTTCAATGTAACTCGAATAAACTTTATTCGAATAGAAACCCATACTATTAATTTATTATTATTTAAGAAAATTTTTTTGGTCCGATATTTTTTGAATAAAATTTTCCCAAACCGGGCATTCCCCCGATATTTTTGATCACCCTGTTTCTCACCCTAACTAATTATAATTATTACATGAATTTTATTCGAGCGGATTCAATCGGAATGTTTTGGCGTAATGATGCACATGGACGGCTTTTACATGTAGTACAGAATTCTTTGGAATCATCTTTTAAGAACCTTAATATAAACGCCATACTATTTTTACCCAAACTACGATAAAAATTGGCCATGTGGTTGGTTACACTGAATATCAAAGTATTAAAATAGAGTGTGAGATTTTTTTATTGTGTCAATCAATTCAATAATAAATACCAATTTTTTTTTTTTTTCGTTTTTTTATAAAGTAAAATTTTTAATTTTTAAAAAACACCATTAATGGAATCAATTATCTTACATCAGGATAACAAAATAGATGATGGAAAAAATAATGATCCATCTATACTGAAGGATGATGATGATAATATTAACATAGAGGATGGCGGTAATGATGATGAACTAAAAGAAAATTCCAAGTTTGAAATAAAAAAATGGATAAAAAATAAAAGCTCCGATGCAGCACCAGTGGTTCGTCGGAAATTGGATGATCTGGCTAGTAATTTTATAAAATTCTTGGGCTTCGTTGGTCCCGGATACGGTTGGTTTTTATTAAAATTTTATCAGAGATTATGGTTTTATAATTTTAAAAATTACCAATTAATTTTTTCAAATTAATAATATATAGTTATTGCCGTGGGTTATCTTGATCCAGGGAATTGGGCTACTGATTTAGCAGGTTAATTAGTAAAATCAAAAAATAGTTTTTGTTACGATATGTATATTAATTAATATTTTTAAACATTAGGTGGCTCGCAATTTGGTTATTCACTTTTATTTATAATTTTATGTTCTAATTTCATGGCAATGTTATTACAAAGTCTATCGATTAAATTGGGTGTAGTTACTGGAATGGGTAAAATGTTAAATATTATTATTGTTATCATTATCATTCATTTTAATTTTACTAATTAATATATATGTATATATATATATATAGATCTTGCAAGAGCTTGTAAAGTTTTTTATCCAAAATATGTTGGTTACATGTTATATGTATTAGCTGAGCTTGCTATTATTGCATGTGATTTGGCCGAAGTTATTGGCAGTGCAATTGCACTTAAAATGCTTTTTGGACTTGCATTACCCTGGGGAGTTGCTGTCACTGCTCTTGATGTTATAGTCATATTATTTATTTATCGTGATAATGATCTCAGATCTTCAAAAATACTGGAAGGCCTGGTGATGTTACTTGTTGCTATAGTTGGAATTTGTTTTGTTCTGGAACTAAGATATTCAGAACCTAATCCGGCTGATGTTCTAAAAGGGTATTTACCTAGTCCAGGAATCTTCACAGACTCTAGACAATTGTACATTGCGATTGGTATTATTGGTGCAACAGTTATGCCTCACAATTTATATTTGCATTCACACTTGGTCAAAGTTAGAAAACATCGTGAAGAGTCAAAAGAAATCAATAACAAAGACAATAAATTGGAATCAGGTCAAGATATAACATCAACAACATCAATATTCCAATCTATCGTTAATCATACAATAACATACTCAACAATAGATTCAACGGCTGCATTAACTTTTGCACTTTTTGTCAATTCTTCAATTCTTATTGTGGCTGCTTCTAATTTTTTTTACAATGAATCAAGGGGAATTATTGAGGTGGCTGATTTGTTTGATGCATTTGATTTATTAAATCAATACCTGGGAAAAGCAGCTGGGACTATTTTTGCATTAGCACTATTGATTGCTGGTCAAAGTTCAACACTTACAGCAACAATTGCAGGTCAAATTGTTATGGAAGGGTTTTTAGGTTGGACAATAAGACCATGGTTAAGGAGATTTCTCACAAGAGTAGTTGCTATAATACCTGCCATGTTAATTGCCATTTTTAGAGGTGAACAAGGATTGAACGAAATGCTGGTAGCAAGTCAAGTGGCTTTAAGTATTCAATTACCTTTTGCTGTTATACCTTTAGTCTATTTTACTAGCAGCAGGAAATGTATGGAAATTGATATCAGAAAAGTATTTAACGAATCAAAATTAAATAATAATAATAATAATAATAATAACAATACAGATGGGCTACAACTACAGATTGATGATGGTAATGATAATGATAATAATGATAATAATGATAATGTTAATAACGATAATGATAATGATAATAATAATAATAACAATGACAGTAGTGATAATCCTGAGTCGATTTATTTCCTTAATTTTAAAAATACCATTTTACTAATTATAGTTTCATCTATTGTTAGTTGTATTATTTTGTTTTTAGATTTATTTTTGGTTTATAGTACTATTAGAAATGCAATTGAAGGGGGTAATTAAAAGGCTGGGGTATATATATTTTTTTATTTATAGATTTTTTTGTAAAATTTTGAATGTTCAAAATATAATAATAATAATATATAATAAAATACTATTATATGAAATATATTTATTAATGATTTTTTTATGATGATTTGTCAAATGTTTGTTCACTTTTAGAATTATCATTATTTAAGAAAGTTTCTTATCTTTTTCCATGCACACTAGACTCTTCAATTATATATATATATATATTCAACTTTGTTCATTATTGCTACCTATTTCTTTACTTTCTTTACTATCTACCCGATCAAGAGTATCATCTCTCAAGGCAATATTTTGCTTTCTTAATCATGCGTTTTCCTCCTTATATTTTTGTTTGCTTTCAATGCTCGTCCTTTTTCTAATTTAATCAAATTCGGCAGCTTTATTGAGCCAGAACTAAAATTTATCAATAATTCAATAAACAATATGCAAGAAATAATATAAATTACCGCGTGTCATTTCTCGATCTAAAATGATATCTAAAATAAAAATATAGAGCTTACGTACTAATGTTGTTTGACGAAAGTTGTAAAACTATTACGTCAAATTAAATCAAGTAAAATTGCTTTAAATGCTAATAAAACATAAATATGTATTCCTTTTGGTTCATCAGTTGTTCCCAAGGAGCCAAGTCTTTCTTTTACTGAATACAATTCAGTTCCCACACACTCATCTACTACTAAACTCGAACATTTCTTATTATATTAATATTAATGACATACATGATCGGAATAGATAAAATCATCGATTGGGGGGATTCGGTACTTTATGTTCCAGGGTCAACTAATTTTAGTGTATAAAAAGAAAATTTTACGCAAAAGCTTTATATATAATATCAATATTGATCAATTTACTTTGCAATAATAAACTTTATCCTTCCTTATTGCAGTGATCAGCGAAGAATAACTTCTGGTCCTCGCAGAGGAAAATAATAGATAGCTAACGTAAAAATAACATGATTAGTAACGTAATTTGCTTTAGTGAGTAAGCAAAGATTAGACTAAAGTTGGTTAACTAGTGGGTGTCAATAAAGTATCGTACAAAGGTTAATCGGAAATACTGATAGTATTATTGTAATTGTAAACGTAAGACTGTTAAACAAAGTTACTTAAGTTTTTTACAAGTAAACCAAAGCGAGTTTGAAATTGGCCAATAAATGTAAACGAATAAATCAATCACAAGTGAATAAAAGGAACTTTATAGAAGCCTTGAGCTTTGTAAAGGGCATCTTTATTTATTTACAATTATCTGGTACCATTGAGTGTGTGCTCACAGACTCGTCCAGATACAAAAGAGAGGAAACTAAAGTAAATTAATTGACAAACACCAAGAGTTGTTAATCAACCGAAATGATACCACAATTTAACAAGAGTCAAAAGATTTATTATTTCAAAACATTATTAAAATTTAGCTTTAAGAAATAAAATAAGAATAAAATAAAAAGATAAAAAGATAATGAATAAATTTATAGTGGAGATTAAATTAGTCATTCATCAATTCTTTTCTTTTACTATTGTTACTAGAATTTAATGTTTATTGAATAATTAGTTAATATTGTTAGTAATGGATAGTAATTTACAATTAATTAATTAATAATGAAATTTTTATTCACCTTTGTTAATATTTAGAAAAAAGAGTCACAATCAAGATTATTTAACGAACTATTACTTGTATAACTTTTAAAGTTCTTAGATTTAGCAATCTCTTCATCCAATATTCTACTTGTATGATATGCGTCTGGATGTGATTTGTGTGCTTGTTGCAAAGCACTACTACCACCACTACTAGTAGTATTATTACTATTATCATTATCATTTTTAAAAACTTCATTATGTTTATTTTCAGCAAAAATAGCAAGCTCTCTACTAGTTGGTCTTTTTAATGGATCCACATCCCAACACCTCTGCATCATTTGCACATAATCACCAGGCATTCCAGCTAATATTGATGGTCGTAAGCCTTCTGCACATATATCAAAAATCAAACGATGATTATGAGCTCTATCATCAAATGGTGGATGACCTGCAAATATTTCCCACATTAACATCCCAACACTATAGATA